ATGCCTTTCAAGTGTGTAAGCACATCTTTTTTTCAGTGATGAGAATCGATGACTTAATTTTACTGGAATGATTTTAGACTCTCTAAAAACTACTCTGAGAGCTTATTTGTCTAACTCTGGGAGTGCTGAGGCATGGAGGGCAGAAAATTTGGGTTTGACATTGAAAAAGCGAGGAGTATCTTGCAAGAATTCTGATTCATAGCACTCCTTTACTTGGTGAAAATGTTTATATTTATGTTTATATTTGTTTATACATTATAACATCGATGAGCTTCCCCGCCTCAATTTTGTGATTATTTCCAGTGTTAGATGTAACAAAACACTGAGAGACTTTCTCCTAGTAATTAAAAGCTTTTATAAATTGGAAAGCAAGGGTTGGAGGAAGAAGTGCTAAAGTTCTTAAGGTTTAGTGGCTTTTCTCACTATGATGGTAGCAGGACCTGCATCAGAATCAGACTCCGGGTTATCGCTCTTGCATTTGGCAGCCTGACCTCAGGACAGGACCCAGCACAAATCCACAACAGCAGCTGTCTACTTCTTGGAAATAAGTCATCATCAGCTTCAAAAATTGATTTTCATACTACAAGGTGCTTTGTGCTACTTCATCTCAGAGCACTTTCCAGGACAACATTGCTTTTTGAAAATAAAATTAAGCTCTTCCTAGGCAGAAAGAGTTTTTTTTTGTTATCCCAAATATTATGTGTACAAGAACACCAGAAGTTTGTGGATGATCTGAAAGACCAGATCATAATTCAGTGTCACACATTTTGTTGTGCAGTTCCTCATTCTCTAAACTGCTATTTTGGCACAAATTTACCTCCACAGCTGAAAAGCAGTTGTGTCACTCCTGGCATCTCAGTAACACATGTAGTGGTCCTGACATTGCAGTTACTGAGATTTAGGAATGTTTTATAATCCCAATCTGTTCAGTATTGTTCTGTGATGAATTGCCAAATAAATTACTCGTATAGTGAATCTGTTTAACTGTGGTCTTTCACTTCAAAGTGGTCTTTCACTTACCTAGCTGTGGGGTTTTTTAAGCAGGTTGTACCCAGCTGAGCTGTGGCACGTGTATTTCCACTGAGCCATTGTAAGTGTGGGTCTTAGGAAAGTTCAGCTGCACTTTGTTCCCACAGTGGCAATTTTAGGACGATGCAGCCTCGAGCACATTCTCCTGTAATTGACAGATTCTCCAGATGAAATCATGGCTATCTTTATCCAGCGTTCAGGAACGTATTCTGCGTAGTATCGTTCCAGTTACAAACCTGCAACGCTTCCTTTTAATGATATTGTATCTGATTCTGAAGTATTTGTGGAATTTTATTCCCCGCTTTCTATTTCTTTCTCTGCTTTCCTTTGCCCTTACGCTGCTGTCTTTTCCTTTGCAGTGCAAATTGTAGATCAACCTATAAATAACGTGGCTGGACCTTAGCAGCGCTGGTTCCTGTGCCCCTTCTTTCAGGGATTAGCCAGCCTGCTTTGCAAACCTGACAGTCCCAGCCTGCAGATATAATGATTAGCTGGGATTATGAAATTAAATTTATTAATACCTGCAGCCCCTGGCAAGATCTCAGGCACAATGGAACTGCTGACCTGCCTGCACTAAAGCATCTTGGACTTTCTCCAGATTATGTTCAGACAACATCCTGGCTACACAGTCTACTACAAACAGACTAGCTTTCTTACACCCTCACTTATGTTAATAGTCCTGGAAAAGTCTACAGAGACGGTGAATTTAAGCAATTGGAGGCATTTAATCAGATGTCAGAAAAACAGTCCCATTTCTACTGTTGACCTGCTGCATGACTTCGAGTAGCATTCTTCTCTTTCTATGCCTAATATTTAACATTCTTTTGGCCACAAAAGTTATTTCTACAGATGAAAAGACTTGTGTAATAAGTGCTATATGCCATCACTTTAGTAAAGCAAGCAGTTAAGTGTCAGAAGACATTTAGGTAAATATGAAAGAAATGTAAAATCACCGATGACTTCCAGGTAGGTCAAAAACAAGGGACAACGCAAGCATAATTCCAGTATGTGTGCTATCTAATATATATTTCTCTTTAGTTTGTTTCTGGAAACCTAAATGCACAAATTAATTGGATACTTTTTTATAAAAGACTTGATAATAATCTTGAATATATTACTTGTCAAAAATACCTATTTCATAATAATAATTTGCACATCAGTGAAAGCTGAGATAGACACTACTGAATCATGTATTTTCAGTATAATGCAATGAATCCTTAAAGTAATTTCAACGCAAGTACATTTTAAAAATTATTTATCAAGACAGAGGGGGAAAAAAAACCCCAACAACCAGTCAAAAGGAGATGATAGTACCATAGCAGTGTCCTCATTCTCACCAGTGATCAGAAGTGGGGTGTTTACTTGGACAGAGAAGTTCTGGCCTTCTGTCATCCTCCTTAATTTCTCAGAACAGGACTATAGTCATAGATACAAAATGAGCAGTCTTTGTGAGGGTCATACACCCAGAAATAAATGCTACCGAAGGTGAACTGTTTCATCTCATGCATTTGTCTCTTGGTTTTGTGGGTTTTTTTTTGTTTTGTTTTTTGGGGTGCTTTTTTTGTGTTCCCCCCCCCCCCCCCCCGACATACTAAGTGTGGTGAGGTGTCTTACCCAAACACATGCTATGCATGACCATTATTACACCATGTTACCGAAAACAAACTCTATTGCATAATAGTTAAATACTTAACACGTTGCATGTATTAATTGTTCTCGTTGTGATTGGTAAGCCACTGAATGTCTCTGTTGAGCAAAAGCACCTGTAGCTGCAGAGCACAATACTATGGAGTGAAATAAATGGTGGAGGGAGGAAATCGGTGATAAAAAAATGTCATGTGTATTTCAGCTGACTGTTTGTTTGTTTGTTCAACTTTTGGAACAAACTACATTGATATCGTCCTTTGATTTTGGAATTCAAAGTGAAGATCCAATATTGAAGAAAAACAGAGTGATATTACTGCTCTTCAGTCATTCACCAGAACATTACTAGCACTTTCAACGGTAAATAAAAATGAGTCTCTGTTATTTTCCTTTGCAGTTAAACTAATTAAACATTTTTCTTTCTCTAGAAATATACTATAAATGAACAAACATAATTTTCATATCCATGCATAATCTTGTCTTGGAATTGTATTGCTTTGTAAACTGTTAATTATTGATTTTTTTTTTCTCTAAAGGTTTTCCCTACACTTGGGTAAGCAAACACATGAAAGACATAAATAAAAGTAATTTAATTGTATTATTTGCATGTATGCAGATGTACATTCATACAAGACCTTTCATTATTTATACCACATTAAGCTCTCAATTTTTTTTTTTTTTTTAATGAAACCTCTAGATTTTCTTTGGTGCTATCAAACATTTGTTTTGTTTTAGAGCTGATACTGTCTGCCCAGGTACTGGACTCCTTTCAGCCCACTCATCCCCAAGAGGAGTGGGGCAGGCTGTGTATCACTTTGCTTATGCATTTTACTCAGACTAGAATGTTTTCAAAGCAGCATAAAGAAGGTAGCGTACTTCCACAAATGTAATTACTTTTACAAAAGACATTAACATTTATGTTCCAGCCACTTAAGAGTTTCTTCTTAGATAAAAAAAAATTATTATGCTTGCTTTTCTTGTTTATTAGGACCCATGAATTTTTTCCCATTAATTTCTAGACATTTAGCATTGTCGTTTTATGAGGAAGAATAAGTGAATGTGACACAGTGTCTCACATCACTGAAAAAAATGCTGCAGGATTTGTTCAGTTCTTGTTTCTTGCACTGATGCAAATCAGGAGTGGTACAACTGTAGCACAGCCACTTGGATGTTCTCAGTATAAATCCATTAAAGTGTAGAGAATTAAACTTTTTTTTGCAGCTTATTTGGCAGAGTGCAACAAAAGGGAGAGCAGTCCAGAAAAGAAAAAAAAAAGTAAAAAAAAAAAAGTGACAGCCATACTTCAAGCATTTATAAATGATATAATTATACCCAAATATTATTTTAAATTTGTCCATGCATTTCTTGAAGTCTAGGAGGTGGGAATTAGTTTTTTTTTTTCTTTTTCCCCCTCCCCTTCTCTTCATACTCTTTTCACAAAGTACTGGAGTATTTACTGGAGCAATTCATACAGTTAAATCCTCTTTTTTCTATTTCTTTTTGGGATGTAGAGCTCTTTGCTGTCTCTGAAAACCACTTGTTCTTTCCAGCCACTAGGAAGGTGTGTGTGAGACAAGTGCGATGACCGAAACACCGGAAGGGATTTCCCTGATAAGAGCGGTCTACCAATGCCGCCTTCGTCTCACCAGACTGTTGGTAGAGGGTGGTGCCTACATCAACGAGAGCAATGACAGAGGTGAAACCCCTTTAATGGTTGCTTGTAGGACAAAACATGTGGATGCCCAGAGTGCCAGCAAGGAAAAAATAGTTAAATACCTATTGGAAAACAAAGCTGATCCGAATATACAGGACAAATCTGGAAAGACAGCCTTGATGCATGCTTGTATGGAAAAAGCAGGCCCTGAAGTGGTATCTCTGCTACTGAGCAAGGGAGCTGACCCAAGCCTGCAAGATCACTCCAATTGCTCTGCGCTTGTGTATGCAATAAACTCCGAAGACAGAGAGACCCTGGAAGTCCTTCTTAATGCCTGCAGGGAGCAAGGAAAAGAAGTCATCATCATCACAGTACACAAGTCCCTGTCGGGGAGGCTGAAAACAAAGCAGTACTTAAACATGCCTCCTGAAGACTTCGAGGAATGCTGTTCCCCAGTTGCTTGCACTTCCCCATCGGAAATAGAATTGAAAACATCTCTATCCCCCGATGCAAGTCCAAATGAAACTAAAAAAGCATTCTTCAGCTTTAAAGAGCTGGATCCTCCTAGATCCAGAAGGGTGGACAACTCATCTCAAACAGTTTCACCAATGAGAAAATCCAGCTCAAGAAAAGTAGGGTCTCAGATGGCACGAGTGCAGTGGCTACACTCTGAGCCTTGGGTAAAGAGCTCTCTGTCAATGTTTCACCAGGATAAAATTGCCTCTTTACAAGAACTTCAGGCTGTTACTCCAGAAGAAGAAGAGGTCTCTTTTAATATCAGTGGCCTTGGCTCATCAAACAGATTCATCACCAGGCACCAAAGTATTGACATAAAAGACACTCCTCATTTATTGAAAACCCTTGATCAAACTGGATCAAGGAAATTATCAGATAATGAGAAAAACTACCAGACTCCTTATGCTGAAGAGGAATATAACTCCAGTGGGATTCCTGAGGGTAAGGATGCCAGTTCGGGACAAATCAGCTTTCTTTCAAACATCAGAAGTATTATCCAGAAGACAAATTTAGGAGCAAATCACTGCAGCTCTGATTCTCAGTTAACTACCAGTCTAAGTCCTGCTGCTGCAGAAGACAGTAAGTCAGTGATAGGAAAGAAAAAGATTCTTTCTCCATCTCACTCTTTGTTACCAAGTTCTAGAGAAGAAGTGGAGAGCATGCCTCTTGTTACTCCAAGCAGGAGAAATCAACCTTTGCTAGAAAGATGGGATTCAGGAGCCTTGTTGTTGGATCAAGCTGCTCAGACAAGACCAGGTTTTCTTCCACCACTGAATGTGAATCCTTACCCCCCAATTACAGATACTGCTCTCATGAACAGGGCTTCCGGGATGATTTCTTGCGGACAAAAACACTTGGTACCAGCAGCACCTGCCTTCCCTAGGGAGACCGAAAATAAGAAAACCTTACTAAGGAGGCAGTCATTACAGAGTGAGCAGATTAAGCAATTAATGAATTTTTAACAGGGGATTAAAAGGTAAAAAAACTGTTACAATATGTACATATTCACTGCACTACCTAACTGTAATTATACATACCACAAAAGATAGCAGTTCTGTAATGTAAGGCGCTCTGCCTTGGAATGAGTTAAATAGCTTAGAGACTACATTAAAAGATACACTGAACTAATGATGCTACTTTCTGCAAACTGAGGAATATGTGGCATATTGTTTTCATAATGTTTTCATATTCACATTGCAGAGCTGCGTTGCATGCATAGCTCTGCCCAGGGAATTCCAACTAAAGACTGTGAGCTTTCTTTAGCCACCTGGCTGCCCACTGGAAGTCAGTGTGATGCACAGAGCGCTGGAGAGCTCAAGTTCAGCACACGATGCCTGGGAGCCAAGTCAAGAAGCCAGTGCAGCGAGCAAGAAGTCCTGAATAATCGCATGTAAAATGACCAAACTCTGCTCGCACTGACAATTAGGCATGTCAATCAACTTGGGCTTCTCAGGCTATTGGATTGCTGGAATCTGCTCATTTAAAAAGAAGAAGGGCGGGGGGAGGCAGGGGCTGTATCTGAACTAGGGTCCGTTACTTTATGTGGTTCCAAACTCCCCAAAAAACGGATCTTTCTGCTTAGTCACAAGCCTGGGTTTCTTTTCAAGACAGGATACATCCAAATGTTGTCTTGATCAGCAAGGACACACATGCTTGGGAATAAGGAAGAGCTCTGTCCTCCTGCTCAGACCGGTGGGCTGACCCAGGCTGGAGACCAGGTGTTCTGGGTTGACCCAGGCTGGAGGCCAGGTGACCCCAAAGCCGCTCTGTCACTGCCCTCCTCAGCTGGGCAGGGGGGAGAAAATATCACGAGAGGCTGGTGGGTTGAGATAAGGGCAGGGAGAGATCACTCACCAGTTACTGTCACAGGCAAACCAGACTCAGGAAAAAAAAAAATTCATCTAATTTATGACTGAGCGAATCAGAGCAGAGCAATGAGAAATACAGCCAAAGCTTAAACCTCATCCTCCTCCCCTCCTGCCTGGCCCAACTTCACTCCCCATTTCTCTCCCTCCTCCCCCCCAGCGGCACAGGGGGACGGGCAATGGGGGTTGGGGTCAGGTCCTCACATGCTGTCTCTGCCCCTCCTTCCTCCTCAGGGGGAGGACTCCTCACACTCGGCCCCTGCTCCAGCCTGGGGGCCCTCCCATGGGAGACAGTCCTCCCACACCT